CCTCTTGACTCGCAGGTCCAGCGCCGTCCTCTTCTTTCTTCCTCACCCTTGACTCGTAGGTCCAGCGCCGTCCTCTTCTTTCTTCCTCCCTCTTGACTCGCAGGTCCAGCACTGTCCTCTTCTTTCTTTCTCCCTCTTGACTCGCAGGTCCAGCGCCGTCAACTTCTTTCTTCCTCCCTCTTGACTCGCAGGTCCAGCGCCGTCCTCTTCTTTCTTGCTCCCTCTCGACTCGCAGGTCCAGCACCGTCCTCTTCTTTCTTCCTCACCCTTGACTCGCAGGTCCAGCGCCGTCCTCTTCTGCCTTGCTTTCTTCTTTGCGAGCTGCTCTACCCCAAGAGAGACAAACACACGACTGAGCGACACCAACTCAGGGCACCTACAGCCAGGTGGGGGCTGAGGCTGGGCGCTGACACCGCCCCGCACCCCACAGCAAGGCCACCTTGCCTTCTTGCTCCCTGGCCCCTGCACAGCCCTTGCCACCAGCTCCGTCCCTTCGCAACAGCACAGCTGCCTGGCAGCTGCCCTGCAAAGACTTTCTTTGCCAGTTGGCCCCTGGCACTCAGTGCAACAACCGCACCAACTTCAAGACCCCGGCGAGACCAGAGCTGGCGGGCCCTCGCCCAGGCGGGATCCTCTTCCCCCACCTTTAGCTGACCCTTTCTGGGGGCTGGATGACAGAGGGAATCTCCCGAGAGATGTCCGCCCCCCTCCCCGACCCACTCAGGGGCCAAAAGCCCGCCTCCCCTGCTCCCAGACCACCCCACCTCCCCAACCCCAGCCAACAGACCCTGCTCCCAGCTTACCAGCAGCCGCGGCTGAAGCCCTGGCTCGGGCCGGCGGACGCCACCTTGGCCGCGGAGGTCTGGGCCTCTGGGCACAGTTTCTAGGGGTGGAAGGGAGGGAGCAGCCCCAGGAAAAAGCTTCTGCCCTCCTTAGAGGGTTCTCCTCCTGGCCCGCTTGCTACAACAGCCCCAAGGGCAAAGCAGGGGACTTTCCTCACCCCAACTTACAGGGCTGTCCCCGCGGCTCCGTCCAGCAAAGGGCACCCCGCCTCTCTCTGGGGAGCAGTGGCGCCCCACGGCATGCACCCCGATGACGGGGCTGCCAGGCTGGCTGGCTGGCCAACACGGCATGAAGCCGCCAGGCAGAGCGCCAAACCCTCACAGCAGGGTCGGCTCGGGGGCTCCAAAGGCTCCGCAGCTCCCATCCAGGAGAGCCTTGCGGCACAAAGCCCGCTTCCAGGGGGCCAGCAGCGGGGCACCAGGGCCCTGGGTCCTCAGCCCTGGCTACAGGGAGCTCGAGGGGCTGCTGGCACAAAACGGCTCCCCCAAAATGCACGAGCATCAGCAAACACACTCTCTCAGCAGCACACAAGGCAGCCAAACAGCCAGCCAGCCAGCCAGCGGAGCCTGGTGGCCAAAGGCCAGAAGAGCAGGCACCCCAGCCCCGCTTACGGGGCGGCTGCTCAGCTCCAGGGAAGCAGGAGGCCCACAAGGGCCAGGGATGCTCGTGCCCCACCTGAGCCCTGATTACAGGGAGGTGCCTGTGCCCAAAGGGATGTTCCCTCCTCCCTGGCTCCGCCGGCCCATCTTCCTCCTCCCTCTTGACTCGCAGGTCCAGCACCGTCCTCTTCTGCCTTGCTTTCTTCTTTGCGAGCTGCTCCATCCCAAGAGAGACAAACGGACGACTGAGCGACGCCAACCCCAGGCCCCTACAGCCCCCTGGGGGCTGACGCCGCCCCGCACCCCACAGCAAGGACACCTTGCCTTCTCGGACCCTGCTCCCCATACAGGCCCTCCCCCCAACTCTGCCCCTCTGCTGCAGCAGAGCTTCCCAGCACACCCCTCACAAAGCACTTCTCGCGCTGAACCCCAGCTTCACCTGTTAGAGATGCCACAGCTCAACACCAACTGCCACGCTCCTTACCTGTGGTTTGCGGAGCTGCAAGCTTGCTGTGCTTCACTCCACTAGCCGTGCACGGCCCTCTTCCGCCCGTCCAGGCAGCGCGAACTTGCCTACAGCTGCCGGCTGGAGCTTCAGCTTTAGGGTCACTTGCAGAAGCCCGCTTCGCATTAGCTCTCCACACCCATCCAATTGCACCACACAGGCAAAGTCAACTTCGCTCCCTACGCTACACCAAACTTGTACCTGTCCAAACAACAACTGTCCAACATCTACCTTCAAACCATCCACGGTTCGTCCTCTCACACTAAACTGCTTCCCTACTCGCTCTACGCCACCTCCTGGACCAGCCTTCACAAAGGAATCCGCTCGTCCTGCAAGAATGCTCCAACATCAGACAACGCCAACGTGAACACTTCCACAACAACACTCCAGCGTCAGACAGCTCCTGCATGAAAAACCTCGCTCTCTCCTTAAGAGCCCACCCTACGCTACCCGACGACCAACACACACTGGCCTCACCAAAGCCAAACACTACAACAACTAGTGCCAAGTTAAAATCGCATCTGCAGCGCAATGTCGTAGGTGTGAGCTAAGGCACAAGCGGGCTTGAAAGTTGCAGAGTGTACCCCCTATGGTGCACAATGGCATTTTCTTGGGGAATCGGTGCTCTCCCTGGACAAGTGGAGAAGCAGCGGCTGTTGAAAGGAAACGTGGCAATGGTTCTCCAGGTCTCCCAAGCTGAGGCTAACAAATTTTACCTGTGCTGTGCGCCAGGATCTGCTTGTCCACTTGCTCCTCTAACCAGTCAGGTGCTGCAGGAGGGACAGAAAGAGAGGGAGAAATCTTTAGGACAGGATTAACGACCTCAACATCCCTGTCCCCAAGCCTCCAGACATCCGAGGAGGCCTCATCAGGGTTTTCTCAATTTCCCCACTTTCCTGGGAGGCATGACAGCACAGTTTTCTGTCCTCAACATCTCCTTGACCCACCTGATATGCTTCAAGGTTCCGAACCCTGCATCCCTTCCTCGAGGTACCTCAGCAATTCCCTTAGAAACCACGCCTCAGTGCCACCCCTCCCTCAACTACCTCAGCGATTCCCGACAAAGCCCCCCCCCGGTCCCATCCCCTCCCCAAGGTACCTCACTGTTACTGGCAGAAGCCTCTGTGCTGTCGTCCCCTCGCTCAGGTATATCAGGCTTGCTAGCTGAAGCTAACTCTTCACTCACAGGTCCAGGGCCGTGCAATTCTTTCTTGCTCCCTCTTGACTCGCAGGTCCAGCGCCATCCTCTTCTTTCTTCCTCACCCTTGACTCGCAGGTCCAGCGCCATCCTCTTCTTTCTTCCTCCCTCTTGACTCGCAGGTCCAGCGCCGTCCTCTTCTTTCTTCCTCCCTCTTGACTCGCAGGTCCAGCGCCGTCCTCTTCTTTCTTCCTCCCTCTTGACTCGCAGGTCCAGCGCCGTCCTCTTCTTTCTTCCTCCCTCTTGACTCGCAGGTCCAGCGCCGTCCTCTTCTTTCTTGCTCCCTCTTGACTCGCAGGTCCAGCGCCGTCCTCTTCTTTCTTCCTCACCCTTGACTCGCAGGTCCAGCGCCGTCCTCTTCTTTCTTCCTCCCTCTTGACTCGCAGGTCCAGCGCCATCCTCTTCTTTCTTCCTCCCTCTTGACTCGCAGGTCCAGCACCGTCCTCTTCTTTCTTTCTCCCTCTTGACTCGCAGGTCCAGCGCCGTCCTCTTCTTTCTTCCTCCCTCTTGACTCGCAGGTCCAGCGCCGTCCTCTTCTGCCTTGCTTTCTTCTTTGCGAGCTGCTCTACCCCAAGAGAGACAAACACACGACTGAGCGACACCAACTCAGGGCACCTACAGCCAGGTGGGGGCTGAGGCTGGGCGCTGACACCGCCCCGCACCCCACAGCAAGGCCACCTTGCCTTCTTGCCCCCTGGCCCCTGCACAGCCCTTGCCACCAGCTCCGTCCCTTCGCAACAGCACAGCTGCCTGGCAGCTGCCCTGCAAAGACTTTCTTTGCCAGTTGGCCCCTGGCACTCAGTGCAACAACCGCACCAACTTCAAGACCCCGGCGAGACCAGAGCTGGCGGGCCCTCGCCCAGGCGGGATCCTCTTCCCCCACCTTTAGCTGACCCTTTCTGGGGGCTGGATGACAGAGGGAATCTCCCGAGAGATGTCCGCCCCCCTCCCCGACCCACTCAGGGGCCAAAAGCCCGCCTCCCCTGCTCCCAGACCACCCCACCTCCCCAACCCCAGCCAACAGACCCTGCTCCCAGCTTACCAGCAGCCGCGGCTGAAGCCCTGGCTCGGGCCGGCGGACGCCACCTTGGCCGCGGAGGTCTGGGCCTCTGGGCACAGTTTCTAGGGGTGGAAGGGAGGGAGCAGCCCCAGGAAAAAGCTTCTGCCCTCCTTAGAGGGTTCTCCTCCTGGCCCGCTTGCTACAACAGCCCCAAGGGCAAAGCAGGGGACTTTCCTCACCCCAACTTACAGGGCTGTCCCCGCGGCTCCGTCCAGCAAAGGGCACCCCGCCTCTCTCTGGGGAGCAGTGGCGCCCCACGGCATGCACCCCGATGACGGGGCTGCCAGGCTGGCTGGCTGGCCAACACGGCATGAAGCCGCCAGGCAGAGCGCCAAACCCTCACAGCAGGGTCGGCTCGGGGGCTCCAAAGGCTCCGCAGCTCCCATCCAGGAGAGCCTTGCGGCACAAAGCCCGCTTCCAGGGGGCCAGCAGCGGGGCACCAGGGCCCTGGGTCCTCAGCCCTGGCTACAGGGAGCTCGAGGGGCTGCTGGCACAAAACGGCTCCCCCAAAATGCACGAGCATCAGCAAACACACTCTCTCAGCAGCACACAAGGCAGCCAAACAGCCAGCCAGCCAGCCAGCGGAGCCTGGTGGCCAAAGGCCAGAAGAGCAGGCACCCCAGCCCCGCTTACGGGGCGGCTGCTCAGCTCCAGGGAAGCAGGAGGCCCACAAGGGCCAGGGATGCTCGTGCCCCACCTGAGCCCTGATTACAGGGAGGTGCCTGTGCCCAAAGGGATGTTCCCTCCTCCCTGGCTCCGCCGGCCCATCTTCCTCCTCCCTCTTGACTCGCAGGTCCAGCACCGTCCTCTTCTGCCTTGCTTTCTTCTTTGCGAGCTGCTCCATCCCAAGAGAGACAAACGGACGACTGAGCGACGCCAACCCCAGGCCCCTACAGCCCCCTGGGGGCTGACGCCGCCCCGCACCCCACAGCAAGGACACCTTGCCTTCTCGGACCCTGCTCCCCATACAGGCCCTCCCCCCAACTCTGCCCCTCTGCTGCAGCAGAGCTTCCCAGCACACCCCTCACAAAGCACTTCTCGCGCTGAACCCCAGCTTCACCTGTTAGAAATTGCCACAGCTCAACACCAACTGCCACGCTCCTTACCTGTGGTTTGCGGAGCTGCAAGCTTGCTGTGCTTCACTCCACTAGCCGTGCACGGCCCTCTTCCGCCCGTCCAGGCAGCGCGAACTTGCCTACAGCTGCCGGCTGGAGCTTCAGCTTTAGGGTCACTTGCAGAAGCCCGCTTCGCATTAGCTCTCCACACCCATCCAATTGCACCACACAGGCAAAGTCAACTTCGCTCCCTACGCTACACCAAACTTGTACCTGTCCAAACAACAACTGTCCAACATCTACCTTCAAACCATCCACGGTTCGTCCTCTCACACTAAACTGCTTCCCTACTCGCTCTACGCCACCTCCTGGACCAGCCTTCACAAAGGAATCCGCTCGTCCTGCAAGAATGCTCCAACATCAGACAACGCCAACGTGAACACTTCCACAACAACACTCCAGCGTCAGACAGCTCCTGCATGAAAAACCTCGCTCTCTCCTTAAGAGCCCACCCTACGCTACCCGACGACCAACACACACTGGCCTCACCAAAGCCAAACACTACAACAACTAGTGCCAAGTTAAAATCGCATCTGCAGCGCAATGTCGTAGGTGTGAGCTAAGGCACAAGCGGGCTTGAAAGTTGCAGAGTGTACCCCCTATGGTGCACAATGGCATTTTCTTGGGGAATCGGTGCTCTCCCTGGACAAGTGGAGAAGCAGCGGCTGTTGAAAGGAAACGTGGCAATGGTTCTCCAGGTCTCCCAAGCTGAGGCTAACAAATTTTACCTGTGCTGTGCCCCAGGATCTGCTTGTCCACTTGCTCCTCTAACCAGTCAGGTGCTGCAGGAGAGACAGAAAGAGAGGGAGAAATCTTTAGGACAGGATTAACGACCTCAACATCCCTGTCCCCAAGCCTCCAGACATCCGAGGAGGCCTCATCAGGGTTTTCTCAATTTCCCCACTTTCCTGGGAGGCATGACTGCACAGTTTTCTGTCCTCAACATCTCCTTGACCCACCTGATATGCTTCAAGGTTCCGAACCCTGCATCCCTTCCTCGAGGTACCTCAGCAATTCCCTTAGAAACCACACCTCAGTGCCACCCCTCCCTCAACTACCTCAGCGATTCCCGACAAAGCCCCCCCCCGGTCCCATCCCCTCCCCAAGGTACCTCACTGTTACTGGCAGAAGCCTCTGTGCTGTCGTCCCCTCGCTCAGGTATATCAGGCTTGCTAGCTGAAGCTAACTCTTCACTCACAGGTCCAGGGCCGTGCAATTCTTTCTTCCTCCCTCTTGACTCGCAGGTCCAGCGCCATCCTCTTCTTTCTTGCTCCCTCTTGACTCGCAGGCCCAGCGCCGTCCTCTTCTTTCTTCCTCACCCTTGACTCACAGGTCCAGCGCATTCCTCTTCTTTCTTCCTCCCTCTTGACTCGCAGGTCCAGCGCCATCCTCTTCTTTCTTCCTCACCCTTGACTCGCAGGTCCAGCGCCATCCTCTTCTTTCTTCCTCACCCTTGACTCACAGATCCAGCGCCGTCCTCTTCTTTCTTTCTCACCCTTGACTCGCAGGTCCAGCGCCGTCCTCTTCTTTCTTCCTCCCTCTTGACTCGCAGGTCCAGCGCCGTCCTCTTCTTTCTTCCTCCCTCTTGACTCGCAGGTCCAGCGCCGTCCTCTTCTTTCTTGCTCCCTCTTGACTCGCAGGTCCAGCGCCGTCCTCTTCTTTCTTGCTCCCTCTTGACTCGCAGGTCCAGCGCCGTCCTCTTCTTTCTTCCTCACCCTTGACTCGCAGGTCCAGCGCCGTCCTCTTCTTTCTTCCTCCCTCTTGACTCGCAGGTCCAGCACCGTCCTCTTCTTTCTTTCTCCCTCTTGACTCGCAGGTCCAGCGCCGTCCTCTTCTTTCTTCCTCCCTCTTGACTCGCAGGTCCAGCGCCGTCCTCTTCTTTCTTGCTCCCTCTTGACTCGCAGGTCCAGCACCGTCCTCTTCTTTCTTCCTCACCCTTGACTCGCAGGTCCAGCGCCGTCCTCTTCTGCCTTGCTTTCTTCTTTGCGAGCTGCTCTACCCCAAGAGAGACAAACACACGACTGAGCGACACCAACCCAGGGCACCTACAGCCAGGTGGGGGCTGAGGCTGGGCGCTGACACCGCCCCGCACCCCACAGCAAGGCCACCTTGCCTTCTTGCCCCCTGGCCCCTGCACAGCCCTTGCCACCAGCTCCGTCCCTTCGCAACAGCACAGCTGCCTGGCAGCTGCCCTGCAAAGACTTTCTTTGCCAGTTGGCCCCTGGCACTCAGTGCAACAACCGCACCAACTTCAAGACCCCGGCGAGACCAGAGCTGGCGGGCCCTCGCCCAGGCGGGATCCTCTTCCCCCACCTTTAGCTGACCCTTTCTGGGGGCTGGATGACAGAGGGAATCTCCCAAGAGATGTCTGCCCCCCTCCCCGACCCACTCAGGGGCCAAAAGCCCGCCTCCCCTGCTCCCAGACCACCCCACCTCCCCAACCCCAGCCAACAGACCCTGCTCCCAGCTTACCAGCAGCCGCGGCTGAAGCCCTGGCTCGGGCCGGCGGACGCCACCTTGGCCACGGAGGTCTGGGCCTCTGGGCACAGTTTCTAGGGGTGGAAGGGAGGGAGCAGCCCCAGGAAAAAGCTTCTGCCCTCCTTAGAGGGTTCTCCTCCTGGCCCGCTTGCTACAACAGCCCCAAGGGCAAAGCAGGGGACTTTCCTCACCCCAACTTACAGGGCTGTCCCCGCGGCTCCGTCCAGCAAAGGGCACCCCGCCTCTCTCTGGGGAGCAGTGGCGCCCCACGGCATGCACCCCGATGACGGGGCTGCCAGGCTGGCTGGCTGGCCAACACGGCATGAAGCCGCCAGGCAGAGCGCCAAACCCTCACAGCAGGGTCGGCTCGGGGGCTCCAAAGGCTCCGCAGCTCCCATCCAGGAGAGCCTTGCGGCACAAAGCCCGCTTCCAGGGGGCCAGCAGCGGGGCACCAGGGCCCTGGGTCCTCAGCCCTGGCTACAGGGAGCTCGAGGGGCTGCTGGCACAAAACGGCTCCCCCAAAATGCACGAGCATCAGCAAACACACTCTCTCAGCAGCACACAAGGCAGCCAAACAGCCAGCCAGCCAGCCAGCGGAGCCTGGTGGCCAAAGGCCAGAAGAGCAGGCACCCCAGCCCCGCTTACGGGGCGGCTGCTCAGCTCCAGGGAAGCAGGAGGCCCACAAGGGCCAGGGATGCTCGTGCCCCACCTGAGCCCTGATTACAGGGAGGTGCCTGTGCCCAAAGGGATGTTCCCTCCTCCCTGGCTCCGCCGGCCCATCTTCCTCCTCCCTCTTGACTCGCAGGTCCAGCGCCATCCTCTTCTTTCCTCCTCCCTCTTGACTCGCAGGTCCAGCGCCGTCCTCTTCTGCCTTGCTTTCTTCTTTGCGAGCTGCTCTACCCCAAGAGAGACAAACGGACGACTGAGCGACACCAACCCAGGGCACCTACAGCCAGGTGGGGGCTGAGGCTGGGCGCTGACACCGCCCCGCACCCCACAGCAAGGCCACCTTGCCTTCTTGCCCCCTGGCCCCTGCACAGCCCTTGCCACCAGCTCCGTCCCTTCGCAACAGCACAGCTGCCTGGCAGCTGCCCTGCAAAGACTTTCTTTGCCAGTTGGCCCCTGGCACTCAGTGCAACAACCGCACCAACTTCAAGACCCCGGCGAGACCAGAGCTGGCGGGCCCTCGCCCAGGCGGGATCCTCTTCCCCCACCTTTAGCTGACCCTTTCTGGGGGCTGGATGACAGAGGGAATCTCCCGAGAGATGTCCGCCCCCCTCCCCGACCCACTCAGGGGCCAAAAGCCCGCCTCCCCTGCTCCCAGACCACCCCACCTCCCCAACCCCAGCCAACAGACCCTGCTCCCAGCTTACCAGCAGCCGCGGCTGAAGCCCTGGCTCGGGCCGGCGGACGCCACCTTGGCCGCGGAGGTCTGGGCCTCTGGGCACAGTTTCTAGGGGTGGAAGGGAGGGAGCAGCCCCAGGAAAAAGCTTCTGCCCTCCTTAGAGGGTTCTCCTCCTGGCCCGCTTGCTACAACAGACCCAAGGGCAAAGCAGGGGACTTTCCTCACCCCAACTTACAGGGCTGTCCCCGCGGCTCCGTCCAGCAAAGGGCACCCCGCCTCTCTCTGGGGAGCAGTGGCGCCCCACGGCATGCACCCCGATGACGGGGCTGCCAGGCTGGCTGGCTGGCCAACACGGCATGAAGCCGCCAGGCAGAGCGCCAAACCCTCACAGCAGGGTCGGCTCGGGGGCTCCAAAGGCTCCGCAGCTCCCATCCAGGAGAGCCTTGCGGCACAAAGCCCGCTTCCAGGGGGCCAGCAGCGGGGCACCAGGGCCCTGGGTCCTCAGCCCTGGCTACAGGGAGCTCGAGGGGCTGCTGGCACAAAACGGCTCCCCCAAAATGCACGAGCATCAGCAAACACGCTCTCTCAGCAGCACACAAGGCAGCCAAACAGCCAGCCAGCCAGCCAGCGGAGCCTGGTGGCCAAAGGCCAGAAGAGCAGGCACCCCAGCCCCGCTTACGGGGCGGCTGCTCAGCTCCAGGGAAGCAGGAGGCCCACAAGGGCCAGGGATGCTCGTGCCCCACCTGAGCCCTGATTACAGGGAGGTGCCTGTGCCCAAAGGGATGTTCCCTCCTCCCTGGCTCCGCCGGCCCATCTTCCTCCTCCCTCTTGACTCGCAGGTCCAGCGCCGTCCTCTTCTGCCTTGCTTTCTTCTTTGCGAGCTGCTCTACCCCAAGAGAGACAAACACACGACTGAGCGACACCAACCCAGGGCACCTACAGCCAGGTGGGGGCTGAGGCTGGGCGCTGACACCGCCCCGCACCCCACAGCAAGGCCACCTTGCCTTCTTGCCCCCTGGCCCCTGCACAGCCCTTGCCACCAGCTCCGTCCCTTCGCAACAGCACAGCTGCCTGGCAGTTGCCCTGCAAAGACTTTCTTTGCCAGTTGGCCCCTGGCACTCAGTGCAACAACCGCACCAACTTCAAGACCCCGGCGAGACCAGAGCTGGCGGGCCCTCGCCCAGGCGGGATCCTCTTCCCCCACCTTTAGCTGACCCTTTCTGGGGGCTGGATGACAGAGGGAATCTCCGGAGAGATGTCCGCCCCCCTCCCCGACCCACTCGGGGGCCCAAAAGCCCGCCTCCCCTGCTCCCAGACCACCCCACCTCCCCAACCCCAGCCAACAGACCCTGCTCCCAGCTTACCAGCAGCCGCGGCTGAAGCCCTGGCTCGGGCCGGCGGACGCCACCTTGGCCGCGGAGGTCTGGGCCTCTGGGCACAGTTTCTAGGGGTGGAAGGGAGGGAGCAGCCCCAGGAAAAAGCTTCTGCCCTCCTTAGAGGGTTCTCCTCCTGGCCCACTTGCTACAACAGCCCCAAGGGCAAAGCAGGGGACTTTCCTCACCCCAACTTACAGGGCTGTCCCCGCGGCTCCGTCCAGCAAAGGGCACCCCGCCTCTCTCTGGGGAGCAGTGGCGCCCCACGGCATGCACCCCGATGACGGGGCTGCCAGGCTGGCTGGCTGGCCAACACGGCATGAAGCCGCCAGGCAGAGCGCCAAACCCTCACAGCAGGGTCGGCTCGGGGGCTCCAAAGGCTCCGCAGCTCCCATCCAGGAGAGCCTTGCGGCACAAAGCCCGCTTCCAGGGGGCCAGCAGCGGGGCACCAGGGCCCTGGGTCCTCAGCCCTGGCTACAGGGAGCTCGAGGGGCTGCTGGCACAAAACGGCTCCCCCAAAATGCACGAGCATCAGCAAACACACTCTCTCAGCAGCACACAAGGCAGCCAAACAGCCAGCCAGCCAGCCAGCGGAGCCTGGTGGCCAAAGGCCAGAAGAGCAGGCACCCCAGCCCCGCTTACGGGGCGGCTGCTCAGCTCCAGGGAAGCAGGAGGCCCACAAGGGCCAGGGATGCTCGTGCCCCACCTGAGCCCTGATTACAGGGAGGTGCCTGTGCCCAAAGGGATGTTCCCTCCTCCCTGGCTCCGCCGGCCCATCTTCCTCCTCCCTCTTGACTCGCAGGTCCAGCACCATCCTCTTCTTTCCTCCTCCCTCTTGACTCGCAGGTCCAGCGCCGTCCTCTTCTGCCTTGCTTTCTTCTTTGCGAGCTGCTCTACCCCAAGAGAGACAAACACACGACTGAGCGACACCAACCCAGGGCACCTACAGCCAGGTGGGGGCTGAGGCTGGGCGCTGACACCGCCCCGCACCCCACAGCAAGGCCACCTTGCCTTCTTGCCCCCTGGCCCCTGCACAGCCCTTGCCACCAGCTCCGTCCCTTCGCAACAGCACAGCTGCCTGGCAGCTGCCCTGCAAAGACTTTCTTTGCCAGTTGGCCCCTGGCACTCAGTGCAACAACCGCACCAACTTCAAGACCCCGGCGAGACCAGAGCTGGCGGGCCCTCGCCCAGGCGGGATCCTCTTCCCCCACCTTTAGCTGACCCTTT